GTGTATGTTGGTGTCTGTGTGTGTATGTGCATGAGTGTGAACATGCATTTTACCACCCATTCTTGTTTGTTTTCTCTTGATATTCATAATATGCATATTATTGTATGAACATGCTCTTTTGACAAAATACAACTGCTGTGTGAAAAATGGGTGTTTGGAAGGGCCAAATGTAAGATGGGCCTGTGTGCCCAATTTGTGACCCTTTGAAAATAAAGTTTGTTTGTTCATTCTACGTCTTTCTCCTCTTTTGGTTGGTTTATGCCCTGTATGGTATGCCGTCACAAGGCATTCTAAGTGGGCACACACACTGCTATCTTTGTATGTAATTTAGAATTGGTTCTGTGCTGACTTTTTCTCTTATGACATTTTCTCTTATGACCTCATTTTTTTTTTTTTAATCTCTTCTTGTCAATCATGCAGCTTTCTCATACATCTCACTTCTGCGGTCACCAGTTTTTCTTTTATGGCTTGTTGTGAGAGACCAAGTCTGGCACTGGTTGCACACAGTGGGAATAAAAAAGTTTTGTATGAGATGTTTAGGCTGATTTCTTATGCTGTAAGAGGAGGGCTAGCTTTTCCAAACATGGTCTGATTTACAGCATCTTTGTGGACAGACAAATCACACTATTATAAAAGAGGTTATGTCATAAAAGATAATGTCAGTCAAACTGACCTAATGAAGATTTTGCAGTCATTATGTGATGAAAGACAAAAGGCAAAAACTCCGTACATCCAGATTTTCTTAAAACCATGAAGGCAAGTAATTTCTATAACTGTGATGAGAAGACACTGCATGAAACAACAAGGGTAAGATACTAAACATAAACATGGAAATCAGTAAAGGAAACAACAGGATATTTGCAAGAAGTACTTAAAGTAATAACAAATTTTAAAAAAACCAGGATTTTAAATACACAACATAGAAACTGAATATCTTTAGCAGTGGTTACTTGAACAGTATGCAAACCTGCTCAAAACAAACATAATGCAGACAAAACTAACAGAAATTACAGAGATAGTGCAGTTTGCGTGGGGAATGCCATTGAGAATTATTCAAAATTTGTATCACAGACCATCTATAAAAGATCTTTTGATTTTCTCAGCTTTGTCGATCCACTTCTACACTAGAGTGTACTGAAGATTTAGACCTCAAAGTCTTGACATACGGTAAAACTTTGATTAACCGCCACCGTCCAGACCAGGGCTGTGATGGATAACCAAATAAAGGGATAACAGAAATCTCTTAATATATATGGACAATAATGTCATGTCATGACAGGCTTGGGATGAAATGCAATACAATAAGAGTAGTAAATGTGCAGAAATTTATTCTATTGATTCCACCTTCTTCGATCTCTTTTGTTTCGCTTGAAATAACAATTGTGACTCTTGGTATCCATCTGCTTTACAACTGTTGTTCTTTCTGACCAAAAGTTGCTGAAGGCTTAGTTGTGTCAGGTGCAGTGTTTGCAATTCTGGTACTTGTTCTTTGTCCTATTGTCTTGTGCTGGACTGGAGTGCTTCATGTGACTGGTACATCTGGCTGCACTTTTGTCGCACCTTCCCCTGCAGTCTCAGTCAGGCATTGACCACACTGCTTTACAACTCTGTGAAGCTTAGTTGTGTCAAGTGTTTGATTTGGTAGTTTCCTAGCTGGAGTGCTTCTCTGATATGCTATCTGTCAGCATTACCACATATAGCCAAGATTGGTATTGCAGTTTCGCTGCTATCTTGATAGCCTGAGTTTCGGCATCATAGTTATGGCAGTACTTTCCGGTTGGTACGCTGGACTTATCCCTAGTACTATCTGGGAATTCTATGTACATTCCAGCACCACCATTTCTAACTGCACTTTCTGCGGACCCATCTGTATAGACTCTTGACGCATTGTTCTTGTGGGTATTCTTCATCAATATAACCGAGGGTGGCCATTCTGCGTTGTACACTATCTTGTTCTTTCTTGTCAAATATTCCTTTCACATTTGTCTGGATTTGTACTGTTAGTTTGAATTTTCTCTCCATGTGGTTTTTTCTGGAATACTTTTAAGTGGACAAACAATTTCTGCAAGGTCAGTAGTTTGTCTACATATTCTTTTGCTTGATGTATAAAGCTGCTTCTTTTTTACCGTCCCAAGGCTAGGTTCTGAAATCTATTTTTCATGGGGTGATCTGGCATACTGAGGAACTTTTCAGCTTGTATTTGCAGCTTTGTATCTCCGCGTTCTTTCAGTGCTTGTTTTTTCCCAGCTTTCTCCATTTTTAATATGGGGGTGGATTTCATCCCTCCTGTGATGACTGAGTGCTTGATTTTGCCCTTTGTCCAACTCCTTTAATGTGGTACTAGATGCGGAACACCATGTAGTTAACCTATATTCCAAGTGTGGTTGTATGCTCTGCTTGTATACTTTGAGTATTTTCCCACTGGCTCCCCATGTGATTCCACTTAGTTTTCTTTGTTTGTTACAGACCTAGTTTACCTAAAAATAATCTCATTCTGTGTATTTAAGGTTCAAACTTTCAATGTTTTGTATCTTATGCAGAAGTAGGATCTGTGTTGTATTTGCCTCCTCTTGCATTTTAACCAGTCAATGCACTTTGATGATATTTTAAAGTTGTTTGCTTGTTTGTTTGTAATCACAATTTTTTTTAGGCAACGACGGATATCAGAAACTGGTGGTTAAATGAGTGACAGTTAATCAAAGTTTTACTGCACTTTAGAATTGGCACAAGTGATGTCTCAAAATGTGTTTAAATACTCTCTGAGGTCCAGGTTAAAATGCCTTCATTCAAAACAAAACAAAACAAATAAACCACCTGGTTCAGTGTGGACTGCATTATTGAAAAGACAAATAAATGAATAAAAATTCCAATGTGTGTTGTTGAACTATAATAATATTTTAACAAACAAACAGCATCAGTTTAAAAATTTGGCTTTAATTCATCGTTTTAAAATGAAGATAATTTTAAAACTAGTTAAATAAAGTTAAATGTCACCTAGGAAAGATTCAGACTTCTGAACATCTAATATGTCAATATGATAATTTTTTTAAATAATTCATGCTCTGGAAGTCAGGCCTCAGTCAAACATGACTGAGCTACTGTATAACCTGCTCTCTGTTGATGCTTAAATCTTGGCGGCATACACCAAGTCTAACACCCCACACTGTGCCATTAGCTTCTGGCTAAGGACCACAACCAGCCTTATCCCAAGGTAGAGGAAAAGCAACCTGAAAACTTAAATGTTACGACAAGCCAAACCAGGATCTTGACCATGGTTGGCGGCTGGTCTAAGAGGGAAGTTCAGATAGGCGGAAGACACGGCACTGCTTTTCTGATCCTGCAGCTTCTGCAGCATGCTGTGTTCCATATGTACTGGTGTTACCTTTCCTCTGGAGTAAACAAGGCAGGCTGAGAAAGAGCTCATGCTGCAAGAGCAATACATGATCTTTACAATAATGCCCAGAAAAGAAAAGGAGAAACGTCACCCCCTGGCCTTAACTGGCAACGATGCCCATACCTCTCTTGAACACAGTAAAAGCCACACACACAAAAATGGAATTCTTGGCTGTCTAAATGTATTTTCCTCTCTGGAGTGCCACCTCAAAATCTCAACACTTTTGTGACACACATACAAAATTACATCCTGGATGCCAACTGTAAATCTAAGACACCTTGTTTAACCTCCCAAGAAGTTCCAATTAGAACACCTGCAATAGCTGCACCAAATACTACAGTGATGTACCTGGCTGTCCTTGGGTGAGGATGTGTAATTAGAAGGTCATGTTTACACATTTGATCTTTCCTTCTTTCTTCTTCTTCATCATGCTTAAATTCCTTAGATTCAGAGGCCATGACCCAAGTGGCTGCTATCGGAAATATGTATGTTAAATAATTTCATTTATTAGTGTCTATGCATGTTTGTTTTTTTAAATTGTAATGTGTTGATGAAGGCTCTGTAGCCGCAACGTTCACTTTCCATTTGTGTTTTGTTACATTGTGAAGCTTGCTAGTCCACTTTTCTTTTGGTTTTTACCTTTTAATCCTTATAACCCTCCAGGAGGAAATGCCACATGTCTGGGCCTCCATCTCAGCACTGTGTTGTGGTTTATAGCTAGGCACAATATCTGTTCCTTTCAGCCCAATATCTCTAATTTCAGCCGAACCCTAATTAGTTGCATTTTGCAACACACTTTCTAAGAGTCATTGGGTCTATTCCCTCTAAGATAGGGCCCTAAAAACCCATATGGGTACAATTTTGAATATCTTTTTCTTAATCTTCACGTTCACCGGCTGTAAACACTGGTGGAAAGTTATAGCTGCTTGTCCATTTCTGGACTCAATTCCTGTTCCAGAACTTGAGTATTGCGTGCACATCCATTTTACAGATATGACTCATCTGTATGCAAGCCGCTGGTTCCTTGCCTCTCAGGCAGATGCACTCCAACTTCGAAGGAAGCTCCCAATTAGTCGACTCTTACAACATGCTCTAGTCTTGTTTTCCCCACAATGGGGCCCCGGATCCCACACTGGGGAATTAGTTTTATGAAAATGCATGCTGAGCATGGGTGAATGAGTTGATGGTAGAAAAATATGCCCTACTCAGCATAAGTCAAAATGAACAATTTCAAAAACACTGTACAAAAGTATTATATTTATCAATAATTGTTTCAGTTTCAACAACTAATATGGTCAAATCAGGAAAACAAACCACACCTGCACACACAAAAACTGCATAAGATAACAATCAACACAGTGGGATCATGGAGAAAGTCCAAAAGTAGGAATCGGAGACCATATGGATATAAGGGAACAAACTGGCATATAGATACAACATGTTCCACAGGGAATAAATGATATGTTAATTACCATAAAGTAGATAATAAACACACCAAATATGTTTTTTGTTTTTGTCTTTATTATTCTACCCTCTTTTCCTTACTCGCTCAGCCTTTCCTTGCTGCATACCCATTTCCTTGCTTTTATCTTAATCTCTGCAATGATTATTTCTTGCACTTTTTTGAAGGAGGTGGCTGGACAACTTGTGTTGATTCCACTGAACTGTCAATACTTGGAGCAGCCAAATGTAATAACTGAAAAACAGAAGGCAATAACTGAATACAGAAGATAATAACTGAAAACAGAAGGCAATAACTGAAAACAGAAGGCAATAACTGAAAACAAAAGGCAATAACTGAAAAACAGAAGGCAATAACTGAAAAACAGAAGGCAATAACTGAAAAACAGAAGGCAATAACTGAAAAACAGAAGGCAATAACTGAAAAACAGAAGGCAATAACTGAAAAACAGAAGGCAATAACTGAAAAACAGAAGGCAATAACTGAAAAACAGAAAAGCACAAGCACTACAGATGTCTATTTGTCAGGATGCTGACCACATCGCCCACCAAATGCTGATTGGTCTATAAAAATACGGGTCCAGCCCTATATTCCCAATACACCTAAAGGCTTGTAAAGGGTCCTTTACTTTTACTTCACTTACTATTTAATATAATTGTTGGGGGTCTCTATGGGCTGTGAGTCCTATTTCTCCCTATAGCACAATAGAAAACTCCCCATATGGGCTACAGGACCTCATTGTAGTGAAAACAAGAACAGACCCACTGCCTTCCTAATAAGCATGCCGTAGGAGTCGACTAACTGGGAGCTTCCTCTAAAGTCAGAGTGTAACTGCAAGGAACCACCAGTCTGCATTTAAAAAAGCAAGATTTGTAAAACAGACGCACACACAAACTCAGGTCCTAGAACAAAGCCGAAGTCCAGAAATGTACGAACAACCAGGTCTTTCTGCCAGGGTTTACAGCCGGTGCACACAAACAACAAACAAAATAGAAAACTTCTTCTTTTGTCCTACTGCTCTTGCAGTAAAGTGTGGCAGAGAGGAGGTATATGCAGTTTCCTATCCTCTGCTAGCTGTGTAAAACTTGTGTTAATGTTATCTTATGTTTCTGCATTGTCTCTTTTACTCCCTCCACCCAAATCTATCTTGGTCAGCCTCTTGGTTTGAAACCTGCAGTTCTCATGACCAGATGACCAAACCATTCGATTCTTTGATGTTCTATGAAATCATTCACCAGTACTGTACCTAATAATTGTGACAGTGGTGACTTGCTCTTCTTGCTTTCCCCACAGCATTTCTTATTCTTCTCATCTCACATGTTTGTTTTTTTTTTAATTTTGCACAAATGTGTTTCTAGACTGTCCATGTCTGGCACTGACAGCATAACGCTGGTACTTAATAGCACATTTATTGGCCGCTTTTTTTTTTAATGCATGTTGATATTCTAATACCTCAAAAGTGGTGATACCAAACTCTATTGTCTGGACAAATTGTGTCGATGATCCTGTTTCTTCTTCTTCCTGATTCTTTTTCTTCACGTTCACCGCCTGTAAACTCCAGTGGAAAATTCTGGTTGCTCGTCCACTTCTGATTCCAGAACCTGACTGTTGCAGGCAAAATCCATTTTACAGATCTGACCTATTTGTATGCACACTGTTGGTTCCTTGTCTCTCAGGCAGATGCACTCTCACTTCGAAAGTAACTCCCAATTACTCTTACGATAACACTTTTGGGTAGGCAGTGGGTCCATTCTTGCTTCTCCCCCGCACACACAACTGCGCCCCTGAACCCACATAGGAAGCTGGAGATTGAACACAGCCAACTTTTCATTAAGGAGCACTAGTAAATCAGTAATATAATGTATACTGTTGTCTCTACAAAGCAGTAAAGTAGCAAGCTTCAAACTCTAACAGATCAATATCACCTCATTCAACAAGCAAACCAAAGGTGGTACTGGTAAATGTAATTTAGGAATTAGTAAAATGATTGTTAAACATGTCCAATTACAAACACTTTCTGACCTGCATGCAGCATTTCCATCCAAATAACAAAAACAATAGGAATAGCTAAAAATATCTTTGTCAAGATGCAAACAATTACCGACGTCTAGAGAGATAACAAATTTTAATATAAATGAGGAATGTCAAATGTTATGTATATTCCAACCTCTTTTATAGTGCAGAAACCCTGACAATGAACAAGCAACGGTAACGTATTGTTCCAAGAGATATAAAGAATGACAGGTTGTATTTTATGTAAACAAAAACAATCAAATACAGAGGTTCCGAAGAAACTGGGAATGAAAAAGAGTTGGGGAAATAAATAAAATAAAAGACAACTGAAATATTTCAGCAACATTAAAAGAAATAACACTCCCTGTGGGAAAAAGGTGAAGGCATGAGCTAGACAATGATACAGGTGGAAGGGCAACCAGCAGTATGAGAGATTGTACAACCAGAACAAGAGACAGAGTGTGTTGGAGATCAATTACAACCAATTTTTACTGCGGTGACGGCGCCTGACTGATTGGCTGAACTTCCATTTTAAGACAAATTCTAAAATAAGTCAACCGTCTCAGACTGGCTTTTGCTTTCTTTAAATATATTTAATAGTTATGTCTGAAGGTGTAAGAAAAATAACAATCATCTGTTAATTTTGAAACCAACGAGAGAACCAGAAGTAAATCTTAAAAAAGGAAATATAAATTTTGTCAGATAAAGATTTGTTTTTTGATAGGTATTCCATAAACTAGATCTGTAATAAGTAGTATTGTTATAATTATGTTAATTAAATATCTCCAAGTTCAAAAGGTAAAATACAAACTTACTGAAGCACTACTCAAAGAAACAGGTACAGGAAATGTGATAATTTGTTGACCTGTGAATGAAACAAACAATATTTGTGATTTTAAAGCAATTCTCAGTCAGTAAATAAAACTTAAAAATAAACAATTAAAAGATACTTTTAAGCTGCATTCATTTGTTTTTGTGTTGTAATATTCACATTAACGATATGAATGCCTATGAAATTGCGCACAGCTTGAAAGAGGGAAAACCACTGCCATGAACAAAGATGTCACAATAAAGATTACAAGAAAATTCACTAGGGAACCTGATGGAAAGGACATCTTTTCATAAGATCCTCTCAAGCCAAAGGCACTATTCTGGTGGAAAAAACTGTTTGCTGAAGCTTAGGACCCTAACTCTGTTATCAGAAAGTACATCAGAGTCTTACTCATTAGGAATAGTATGATAATTACAGCCTTTGTGCCCCAAAATTAGACAAACCAGTTATATAAATCATTAAAGAACAACTGATAAAATAGGCCACATGATAATAATTCCCTGGTACCAATAGCCAAAGAAAGACGGAGGAGGATGAAGAAGGAAAAATTAGGAGAAAGGGTAAGAGAAGAATGGAGGACAAGGAGGAGGAAGAAGCAGGAGGAAGGAAAAGGAAGATGAAGGAGGAAGTGTAAGAAGGAGGAAGAAAAAGTTGAAGGAAGAAGAAGAGGAGAAGGAAGAAGATTAGGAAGAAAAGGAGGAGGAAGAAGAAGGAAGAAGAATAGAGGAGGAAAAAGAGGAAGAAAGAAGAAGATTAGGAAGAATAGGAGGAGCAAGAAAAAAAGAAAAAGGAAGAAGAATAAGGAGGAAGAAGAAAAAGAAAGAAGGAAGAAGAGGAGAAGGAAAAAGAAGAAGAGGTGATCAGGAGGAGAAGAAGCAGCAGCAGTAGTTACAGGTGCATAATTTTTTACTAAATTCTGAATGTCTAAAATAACACAAGATACTTTACCTGAAGACTGATCTGTTTGTGTCATGGATATTGTTCCCGGCTGAGGAAAGTTGAAGATGGTTCTGTCATGAATGTTCTGAGTGGGTGTGGCATACACAACTCCTTGAGGTGTGTGGTACATTACAATACCAGGGGTCATGCCTGTAAAAGTTTACTGTGTTCAGTAAATATTTAGTGGGTTCAGTAGATATTTAGAGCAGCTGGTTGACAGTTAGAATGCTAGGTTCTCAAGTGGGAAACCCGGGCTCGAATCCTCTGTAAGGCTGGGGATTTTTTTCTGTCGGGGGCAATATAAAATCCTCACCTGCACAGCCATGGCAAGAGCTCTAGCCATGCAGCCGTTAATCCTATGGCTCAAGGACCCGCATACACCGCAAAAGTAGTTAAAAAAAAGGCAGTACTTGGCAGTAGATATTTAGTGTGTTCTGTAAAAAATGCTACGTGTTCAGCAAAAAATTATGTGTGTTAAGTAAAAATACAGTATGTTCAGTAAAAATTCAGACAGATGCATATTTCATTTTAAACTGACTCATTTTTGTGGTCTCCAACATTTTAAGAATGGGGTTAACTAGCATGTGTGATCAAGCATCTTGACTGTTCAGTGATACAGTGGAAAGTGCTTGCTGCCTAGACAGTGTGTAAAGTAAAGAGCCTCTTTGACACAATGCTGAATATTATCCACAGTGTCATTATATATGAACTTCATTGTTTACGAATATTTACATGAGAAGGCTAAAATTATAATCTATACACAGTACTTAAGCTTTTAAGTGGATAGTTTGTGTTTACACCACGGCTTATGAAATAGGTAGTTTATGTCTGTCAGACTGCTTACGTAGAGGATGGTTTTGCTGATTGTGCCGGAGTGATAAAATGAGGTATTTTACATCTCAGGAAAAGATAAAATCTCTTTTTTTTTTTCATTTATTATTTTTCTGAAGGAAGTAATAAGTGTATAGAAAATAAAAATTCCATTCATGATCAATGACTTTTTTCCCTACTGTCTAATGTGTCCAACTACCAACTCTGACAGTTTCCACTACCAGTCTGGATAAGTTTGGTAGGTTAAAACATAAAACATTAGCACTGAATAAGGTTCCACTGTCTTTGGAAACATATACACTGTAGACTGTAAACAGTTTGTCAAGTACGCAGACATAGGGTAAAGGGCAGTGTTGCCACTTTGGATGTTTTACATCCAGATTTAGATGTTTTCCATTGCATTTAGATGGCCTTTTTGACGTTTAGATGGTAGATGTCATTCTCGATGTTTTTCATTTGGAGTGAATTTATCAAATCTAACCCAAGAAACAGGATGAAATTTGACCTCTTAAATGCTATCTTGACAATAAAATTCAGCCTAAGAGTAGGAAAAAGCTGTTCCACTTATCAGCTCCCTGATTGGGTATTAAAAGAAATTGGAACAGCTAAAGTATACCAGAGTCCTTTTGGATCTGAAGCTTTATCATCAAAGCTAAGTTTATCTTGTGGATCTTGTAAGGCAGACTTCAGTAAAGATGCGGACATGATTCTATAGGGTAAGTCATATCAATTGCTATGTAATTTGTGACTCTTTCCATTTGGATGTTTTTTCTAGATGTTTTCCATGCAAATTTAGATGTTTTTATATATTTTTTGACTATGTTTTGGATGTGGGTTTTTTTTGTCAAAGAAAAGTGGCAACATTGGTAAAGGGTTTCATGTGAAGTAAACTGGTGGCAGCCCACATTTTGAAAACAAAAGGACTTTCTGGAAAAACACTCCACTGCTACTAAAAAGTTCTTCAACCAAGTGGAAACAACTTTAGTGTATTGTCACGATACGATCTCAGTGATTCCAGAAGTTAGTACTTGTAATAAGTTCTTCTGGTTATTGAGAGACAAGAGACTATGCCCTTGAACCAAATGTTACTTTAAACCGTATTGATTTAAATGTTTCCAGTCCTTAGTCCAGACAAAGCGACCCAACCTTGGGTAATATTACCTAAAACTTTACACTGTAGCTAGGAATGCTATTCTCATGCCAGTGTCAGAATGTTATCTCCTGACCACAGACTGTAGAGGCCAGCGAACGGGGAACTTAGCATCACACCTGAGCTGGACCGTAGGTCATAAAAGATTACCTAACACGAATTGAGCGGACTGTAGACATAGAGGCGACGAGAAGTTTAAAGTTTAACACGTCAGTGTAATTCTGGGGAGAACAGGTGTTTGGCAATTAGGAATGTTTTATCTTGGTCAAGGTCGTACTGTAGGCCGTTCACTGTGAGTGACAGGTCACTGGTTAGCCAATTTGATTTGATGGGTACTCCGGAGGCGGAGCTTAAGCCATCATCTTGAGGGTTGGTTAAAAACTAAGTAAAGGGAGGAGTTTAATTTGAACAATAGATTGATACTTATACTTCGAGCCTGTGGAATTCCCGTCATTAATCGCAGCCTGCCGGCAAACAAACACAGGTCGACGTAAAGGTATATTTTACTGTCGTACTCTGGTTTGGCGATAGATGGAAAAGTTCCCAGCGCCCATGTGACGATCAGTCCATGAAAGAGACTACATAGTGTTAGACTCTGCCAGCTGGGAACGAGGTGGAGAACGATGTGGAGAACGAGGTGGGGAGGAAGTGGAGAATAAGCTGAAACAGGCAGACAACAGGCAAGGAAGAGTTGGACAAGCTTGACAGTTCCTCACGGCTGTCAGAGGCTTATAAGTTGAGTTAACCCCTTTATGTTAACCTTTTATCATCATTATCATACCACTCTAAACCCCGAGCTGTTTGTCTCGCTGAAGCGTATCACTTTCATTAACCAGTCACTGTTTGTGTAAATCAACAAACTGGTAATTTCATTGTAGTACATAAAGCTGTATGTCAAGTTTTAAACTACATAGTTTGTTAAATTCCAAATGTCTGTTCTTACATGTTTAATTAAAACTGTTAGGATAGAATACCATTTGGTGGGGGCTCAAATAATATAATAATTCTTTAATTATTAATAATAACACCGGGAGAAGGTAGATGACGGAGGAATCACTTGCCCTGTCTAATAATTCATTAAGTATGATAGACATCTAAAATTCCTTGCCTTCTCTTGTGGGTACCAAGTGCAGCTAATGTTAAAGTACTTAACGAGCCAATATGGCTGTTTTCTTGGATATCCAGGACTTTGTCTGAGAGCAACATAGCTCAGATTTTAGTTCGGTTAATCTGGTGGAGGGAATGGGTTGAGAGGAACATCCCTATTCAACAACATAAACATTTAAACCACCCGTCACGTCACATGTATTCACAAATTGGTGCCGATGTTCAAAACATTATATCTTAGCCGTAGCGGAATATAAATGGATGAAATTATATGTTAACATTTATTTCACTTTCAGTGATATGTCAGATTATTTTTGTGCATAGAAAGTCATCAGAATGCATTTTTGCTTATTCGAGGTATAAAAATATATTATGATCCTTGCTGGACTGTCTTTTAAGAGTTGTACAGCACAAAGTTCAAATGTAACCAATCGACCTTTCATATAAACACGGGTCTCTTATTTTTTATGTAAATTCTTAATAAGACCATAAATGCTGCACTAAAAGTGTCACAACAGGCTTTTAAATGAGTGTGCTGGATCGTTTCCAAGTATGCGACAAGTTGTAAAAATTTTACTTATGTTGTTAGGGTTAGGGCAATTCATGTTGGTACTGTAAAAATTTGTTTTGTTACCTTATTAAATAAAGTGATGAAAATAATAAAGACATCTGTTTTGGTACACCTAGGCACTCTAAATATTTTTTTTTTTTAAACGCAGAGATGAAAATAGGAGCCTGTGGGGGGGAAAAAGTCACTTTTCTAAGATAAGTAATTATGGGGAAATTATTGAAAATACGACAGCATGAATTTTTCAACCCACTACAACACAACAGTGCCTATTACAAATTAATTAATGATTCATTTTTTAAAAGCTGTTAAGCATTAAAATCTATAAGATGAAAACTACATTTAATTGACGTGTGACACGCAGGGGAGTCTCAAAACAGCAACAACAAAATAAGTTACAAGACAATGAGAAAATTAATTACCTTAGTAGTGTCATGGTGACACTGCAGAACCTGAGATTGATATACTGCTGGTTTTCACAGTTCAAAATAGTATATTATATTCCCTGTGTGGTTTCTGATGCCATTTGGGGGAAATAAAGAGAATAGACCCTCTGTTTACTATCAAGAATACCTCAAAAGGGAACTTATCAGGTGCTTGTTGAAAGTGAATATGTTGGACAGAAAGACACATATATATTGCAGCTTAGCTGTAAACCACAACAAAACATGCCAACTGTTCATTTATGGGTGAATTCAAAACCAGAAGTATGTAATATGGGCACAAAGTCACACTGGTAATACAGCTCATAATAAATCTAATAATAAACCCTTACCTAGCATAATAACATCAAATGAATCCTGCTGTTGTATTATAAAGGGAACTTACCCTGCATAATGTTGATAGCCGAGGGTGTGCTGACAGGAAGTGGTGTATTGAGGTCACTCATGTGGTTAGTTTGATTACTGGAAACATTTTGATCTGTATTTACAAAGAAATAGGTAATAAGATTAAAAAGTAAAAGTCTGCTAAATGTAAATCTAAGTGTACCCCTCTCACCCCCTCCCCCCCCCCCCTTTATACATCCTTCCCTGAATCTTCTCCATACACCCAGTAAAGCAGCCAGCTATCAAATTTATCTGGCCAAAAGATAACAGTGTATTAAGTATATGGTATAATTCCCCTACATTTATTAAAATTATATTAATAACTAGTACTGTTAGAAATATAGGGATAATCTAAAAATATTCCAATGTTTTGTAACTAATATTTAGTTGTTGTCAACGATTTTTAATACCCGTTAAAAGGTGATTAAACAAAACAATGTATAAAAGGAGTGAGAGCAAAAGGGACGAATTTTAGATAGGCTGTTGAGCCTCATTCTGAACTCTGAAAGTAAAGTAAAGTTTGTTTGCTTGTTCGTTCTGTTGAAAAATTCTAATAAATGTTGAATATTATAAGCAACTATAAGAAAGAGGCTGCATTATTGGTCATATGAAGATGTGGTGACCGGATATGGTAGTGGTTGAGAATAAGAGGCAAAGTAATATAATTAATGCTGGATAATCTAAGCTGTGACATTCTGACGTTTAGGGATGAATGGCAATGAAAGTCACTCTCTTTCTGGGCCCGAGTTTGTGAGTTGTACCTGGGATTGTGTTTGAAATATTTATTTCTTTAGTACTGGGCTAACAAAATAGGGATTGTCTTACAAATGGGAGCGGGGGCGTCTTATACACAGAAAATGTGGTATGTACCTTCTGTGATAACAAACATCCCTTTGCTTTATACTGTATCCAAAAGAGGTATTGCTTCCTGTGAAACTGTGTAGTGTTTGACATGGACTCAGGAATAAGTGTATGACCGTAGGAGTTGAGTTGAGTCAAGAACTGACATCACAGCACTCAGAGCATTTCCATAAGTGCTCCGTCCCCATCTTCAGAGCCAACGAAGAGTTACGATACTAATGGTGCCAGTAGCATTCTGATTAAACGTCCACCTTGCCTTTCCTCTGAGCCTCGAACATCTGCCAGAACCTCTCGTCACGGTGGTGATCCATCTGCTCCTCCTAACTGTATACGCTCTCCCACAAGGCACAAACCACATCTGCCCTATCATGCATCAGCATTGCACCAAGTTGTGCAGAGCCAGCGAGTCTGTCCGCCTGTTCATTTCCCAACACACCGGCGTATGACTGTAGGACATATTAGGCAACATAATATAATGACCGTCTGTGTAGTACTGCTTTGAAAGGCATGCGTTTGTGCGTCCATGTTTGTATATCAGCTAGCTGATAATGAAGAAGTTAGTAATGACTGTCAGAAGTCATGAGCATAAGTAGAGAGCAACAGACCATCGACATAAAGATTCTAGATCACAGCCTAAAACAAGTGCAAGAATTTAAATACTTGGGAAGTATCTTTACATCTAATGGTAAAATAGACAGAGAGATCGAAGCAAGAATCCAACAAGCCAACAATGTCGCATACCAGCTTGCCCCAATTTTAAAACACCCTGCTGTCCCAGCTGAGATAAAAAGACAAATTATAAATACAATCTTTATACCGACATTAGGTTATCAATGTCAGACTTGGACATTAACAAAAGAACACGAGAGAAGACTAACCACCTGTGAAATGAGATGTTTGAGAATGGCTGCGAATAAAACCAGAAGAGATCGAGTGAGAAACGATGTGATTACAAGAACTATTGGAACCATACCCATCGTTAAATTTATTGAGAAGCAAAGAATGAGATGGTTTGGTCACCTAATGAGAATGGAACCAACGATGCCAGCATCAAGAGCATACAACATGAAAATCGAAACACCAAGAGGCAGGGGAAGACCAAGAAGAAGATGGATTGAAGGAGCCACGGACAACTTGAGACTTCATAACATCACGGCATATGAAGCGACTGAGCGCGCCCTGGCTCGGTTGCCGATCATCTGATAGACTGCGACGCCTAGCGGCACAAGCAGATTTTGACAAAAGAAAGAAAGAAAGAAGTAATGACTGTAATAGCAGCAGCAATAACAATGACACATCAAGTACTTACTACTGAGAGCAGAAACCACCTGGCTGAGAGTGGCAGGTTTCAAGACACTTGTGGACTGTGATGACTGAGACATGGTAATATGTTGACCCCCCTGTTGCAACATGGAGATTGTACCTGAAACATGTGGGAGGAAACTGTTTAGTTTAATAATGCAGCAAGCAGGTCACAAAGCTGTCAGTCTTATGGTGTGGCTCAATAATTAGGACAGCACCCACATGAGTTTAATACAGCAATGGCTAGCGTGCCTACACGCTGGTCTTGTGGTCATGTGCTTGAATCCCCTGTGAGGTAGATTTGTCTTCTTCTTCTTAGAATTTATCATTAATCAGCAGTCACTCGTTATTGCATGCTTAAAATCTTGTTCCCTTGCCAATTCTCCAGCCTTATGTGCTTTTAAAGCCAATTAACCTTCAATGGCTGGTATCCACATTCAGGGGTCTTTCTCTTGCTCATTTTCTAGAAACTGTACCCTCCATCCCTGTTCCCTCCAATCCTCTGTGAAAATTAACATGGGGAAAAAGGGGGGGGGGGGGGGGGTAATTACAATGGCTGTAAACTCCAGCAGAAAGTTCTGGTTGTTTGTCCACTTTTGGACTTATGTCTCGTTCCAGAACTTGAGTTCTGTGTGCACATCCATTTTAAAGATCTGGCTTATCTGGATGAACACTGTTGGTTTCCCCACCTCTCCACTCGACTTTCTCGCTCTCCCACTAATTCTTAAAAGGGATGTTGTAAAAGGCGACTACTTAAGGTATTTCCTTCAAAGATGGAGTGCATATGCCTGTGAGGCAAGAAACCAACGGCCTTCATATAAATAAGCCAAATCTGCAAAATCTGCAAAATGGCTGTGCAAGCAAAACTCAGGTTCTGTGACAAGACTAAAGTTCCAAAGTGGATGAATAACCAGAATTTTATGTTGCCGTTTACAACCAATGAATATGAAGAAGAAGAAATAATCACACAAAGTTATGACGATTAATGAAAAATTATCTGCAAGCCGCAATGGCGAATTATGAGAATACCCTGGACAGATTAAAACAGTAATGAAGATGTCTTGATAGAAATTGACTCACGAAGATAACTGACTGCCTAAATCAGAAGGAGACAGTCTACATTCTTTGTGTCTTGAGAAAGAGAAAACAGCAGTACATTGTGACAGTGGGAAAGTTGGAGAGAAAAGAGGCAGGGGGAGACCAAGAGAGAAGATGCTTGGGGTCCTGGAACCCACATAGGGAAATTGATCATTTAAAACAAAGTAAAACTGTACAACTGACCTTGGGGAAATATGAATGGTATCTGCATAGTTAGATTGTTGGCTGTATGAGCATTATTGTTGGTGGCACTATTAGAGCTGACGGTTCCAGGTTTGATATCCCCTGAGACGTCCTTGGACAAAGCTTGTACTGTAAAGGTTGGCACCTGGCTGACTATTTGTGTGGCTGGTGAGGCAGGTGCAACTTCTCTTAAGATGGGTGCTACAGACTGTTCTTGTTTAACACCAATGCTAACTTGTGTGTAACTGGGGAACACTGGCTTCTGGTCACTGCTTGAGTCTGCAGCCTAGGAATGAATTACAGAATATAACATTAAATTGTTTGCATAGCCTTTACAGCCGGGCCATTAAACTAAATTTACTCAGGGTTAAAAACATTGACAAATGTGGATATCATGGGCCAGAGGCCCGATATGTTAGCTGTGTGTCCTTTACAGGACATTGAAGAACCAACCCCAGTTCTTCTTCTTCATGTTCACTAGCTGTAAACTCCAGCAGAAAGTTCTGGTTGTTCGCTAGTCTTGTTCCAGAACCTCAGTGTTGCATGCTGCATGCACATTCATTTTGCAGAAAGTGCTATTTTGTAAGCAGACTGTTAGTTCCTTGCCTCTCAGGCAGATGATGCACTCTAATTTGAAAGAAGCTCACCAATTAGTTGACTCTTACAACATGCTTGTTGGGAAGGCAGTGGGTCTATTCTTGTTTCTCCCATAAAGGGGCCCCAAAACCCACCGGGGACCAACCCCCATTTTTGTCTGACTGTTCTTGATTTTACAAGGCACTTCTATGTTATGTCATCTTCCTCTCCGTCTTTTCCCACTTATGTGTTTGACTGAACAAGCGATACATCAGCCTGTTATGTCCTGTGTAATAAAGTGAAAAATGTAGCTTGTTCACTCTGGCTGAGCTAGTAATATGCATCTGGTAGCCTGGATGCTCTCTCTCTCTCACTTGGCTCTACTGCTGTTTCAAATAAAACTACTGATGTATGAAGGAGTTACATGTAATAGCAATGTCTGCTACTGTAATAACATTTTCTTACATGCGTTTGCATTTCATTAAATTTTACTTAAAATAAGTTTGCATATCCAGTGTGCTCCTACAGTGGTCGTATGCTAAACAAAAATACTTAACATTAATGAGGTGGGGGGGGGGGGGGAAAGAGAAAAACAGTGTGTGCATGTTTGTGTGTACTGTGTACTTTTCTTCTTTCTCAATAGTGTGTGTGTTTGCGACCACGCACTGAAAGAACAAGAGGAGATATATAGGAAAAAGGAAAGAGAATACATGTCCCTGTCTGTACATTAGGTGACCCTAAGCCAAACAGTGAACCCACCCTGTCTGTACATTAGGTGATCCTAAGCCAAGCAGTGAACCTACCCTGTCTGTACATTAGGTGACCCTAAGCCAAGCAGTGAACCTACCCTGACTGTACATGGTGACCCTAAGCCAAGCAGTGAACCTACCATGTCTGTACATTAGGTGACCCTAGGCCAAGCAGTGAACCTACCCTGACTGTACATTAGGTGACCCTAAGCCAAGCAGTGAACCTACCCTGTCTGTACATTAGGTGACCCTAAGCCAAGCAGTGAACCTACCCTGTCTGTACATTAGGTGACCCTAGGCCAAGCAGTGAACCTACCCTGACTGTACATTAGGTGACCCTAAGCCAAGCAGTAAACCTACCCTGTCTGTACATTAAGTGACTCTAAGCCAAGCAGTGGACCTACCCTGACTGTACATTAGGTGACCCTAAGCCAAGCAGTGAACCTACCCTGTCTGTACATTAGGTGACCCTAAGCCAAGCAGTGAACTTACCCTGTCTGTACATTAGGTGACCCTAGGCCAAGCAGTGAACCTACCCTGACTGTACATTATTGGACCCTAAGCCAAGCAGTGAACCTACCCTGTCTGTACATTAGGTGACCCTAAGCCAAGCAGTGAACCTACCCTGTCTGTACATTAGGTGACCCTAGGCCAAGCAGTGGACCTACCCTGACTGTACATTAGGTGACCCTAAGCCAAGCAGTGAACCTACCCTGTCTGTACATTAGGTGACCCTAAGCCAAGCAGTGAACCTGGCCTGTCTGTAATAACCACTCACATGAGTTAATTCTTGCCTCAAGGGAAAATACAAGAAATTGTGGAGCAAACAAACTAACAGTAAACATCCACAAGACCCCAACAGCAGACTTAACAGAAAGCATCATACAACAATATTCATTCTATGAACAGGACACTGCAAGATCAACTAACACATGCATAAAATAAAGACTGTACAGTCCCCACAGTGTGCCTGTCCAACGGGACCACAAACACATGAGCACATTCTGCAGACCTGCCCAATCTACCTACAACTTGGAAAAGACACCTGGCCTCAAGAGCAAAGTGTGCAGAGCAAGCTTTGGGGAACAATGAAAGACCTGCTGCTGACATGCAAGTTCATAGAGGCAACCCGCCTGATGGTCTGATCTGAGCATGAAACCCAAAGCGAAGAAGAAGAAATTTTTGCCCTTGCACAGAACAGCAAGGGCACTGGAATCTTAGTGCTAAAACTTATTGAGAAGGTTCACCCCCCCCCCTTTTTTTTTTTACCAAATCTGAATGAGAGCCCCAGCGTACATTTAAAAGAGGACTTAGCTGCACCACAACCAACACCCTCCCCCGCTACCTTTCTAACTGTACAGAAATGCAATCTTTTTGTTTTTAGATATCATTATATTACTTCAAAAATAACATATTATTTTTCTGTTACTGGGCATATTGTTGTTAAGCTCTTAAACCAGGCCAAATTACAGGGGCATCCCCCCCCCATCTAGAAAATGTTTAGGGGCTGAAGACACCCCCCCCCCCCACACGCACGCACGCACGCACGCACACACACACATCTTTCCTTTGTTTCAGCATCCCTTGTATTTAGGCCTTCGGGAAGCTGCCTAAAAAGTATACCAGAAACCGAACCAGGTCAACGTGAGCCAGAATCTGCCGTGACCTCTATACGCTACTTCTTCCACAATCGGATAACGGTGCACAGACAGGTCACCGACGTTTTTCCACTTCGACCCTAACTAACCTGCCTCCCCGTACTTTCAAGTTATGCGCAGTTATGAAAACATTTGTTTTCACACTTTTAATAAAAGATAGTCGAGTCGGCGCCAGTTGGCTCCTTTTCTAGCACAAATACGGTACTTATAACCCTACAGGTGTGGCAACACAGCCCTGTTCGTCTTATGGAGCAGATGTGGGAGGGGTTCAGAAACGACTACCCGCACAAAACTACACCGGATAGAGAGGGGCGGCGGGAGATCCAGAGAGGTACCGGCAGGCGGAGTAAAGTGACTGCCAACAACAGCCTCGCCCGTTTCCCCATGATTCGTTGTATCTAGTATGTTTGAAGAAAATGTTCGAATGTATCAAGAGGTTATAAGGTGCGGCGCAGTTGGAAAACGAAGGTGCGATGACAAATTAGTGCCTTTGCCTACCGAGACTGTTTAAGTTAGTTGCGTATCCTATACAGGACGTTGCAGAACCAACCCCAGCATTTTTTGTATGGCTGTTGTGGTTTTTCTAGACAAATTTACGTCCCATAGTTTGCCACTGCTTTGTGGGTGGTCGGCTTCCCGATACCACTGTCAAAACCAATGCAAGGCCTGCAGCTGGGATTGAACCCGGCACCTCGGCATTACGAAGCGCGTTCGCAACGCCTAAGCTACAGCAGCGAGACTGTAGCCTGGGTTAAATCCAGAGATGTGGTAGGATTTTCTCCCAGATCTCATGCATCTTGAGGTGCACCCCCGCCTGACCCCCCAATTGTTATGGACCGGTAAACCCTTCACCCCTTAGAAAATGTACAAGTCCTCTTTTTAAGTTCGTGTTCACACACACACATATATATTATGTCATTCAGAACATAATTATTATTCTTATTATTGCGCATTTAAACACGACTTAAGCCCCTGCCATGGAGAAAATTACAAGGATGGGGAGGCGCTGAGCGCCCCCGCCCCATCCAGCAATCATTTCTTTGTGGCGGCGTTCCTTATCCTGAGAAGAGAACGTCCACACCACCACCCGCACCCCCTACTCCCCGGAATATACACAGCCAATGAAATCAGTGGGTCTGGCCCTATCCAGGCGACCACAATAATTGGTTCGCCTTATATAGAGGGCTTATTTCTTTAAACAAGTTTTGTATTGCATGCGAATAGTGTTATAAATCTTCAAATCGCCTTTTGCAGGAAAAAAAATATTTTTCGTCACGCTGAACTAGATCAACATGAATCTAACGTGAACAAGTGGCGAAAAATTATCTTCGGCGATAACTAGAAGAGGAAATGGTTCAAAGCAGCGTCAGTTGTGAGAATATATTGCGCAATTAAGGGCACACGCGACAAGTATAACAAAAGGAACAGATGACGCGCATCAGATCAGAGAAAACTCCCCGTGTGAGTTCCGGGCCCCCATCGTGGGGAAAACAAGAATAGACCCTCTGCCTACTCAAAAGCATGTCGTAAGAGAGGCAAGGAACCAACAGTCTGCATTCAAGTGAATCAGATCTGTAAAACTGATGCACACGCAACACTCAGGTTCTGGGGCAGGACTGCAGTTCAGAAGTGGACGAACAACCAGAACTTTCCACCAGAGTGTACAGCTGGTGAACGCGAAGAAGAAGAAGAAGAAGAAGAAGAAGAAGAAGAAGAAGAAGAAGAAGAAGAAGAAGAAGAAGAAGAAGAAGAAGAAGAAGAAGAAGAAGAAGAAGAAGAAGATCGGAAAATATTTTTTTCGGGAATGAGGAAAAAAGGGGGAGGGGTGGTTATCGTGTATGAGGCAAGATGGTCAAAAGACAGACAAACTAGTAGAGGGGGAGGGGAGATACAAGACAAACTAGTAGAGGGGAGGGGGAGAGATACAGACCAGACAAAGACAGGCAAGCAGTAGGAGACGGACAGAGACGTATCAAGAGACAGGGACGGGAAGAAAAAGCCAAATGACACATATATTTTCAATCAGCAAACCACGCCTTATAATATACATAAATGCAAGCTACATACATGTAAACAGCGCCTAACCATTAAAAGGCCCACAAAGTCACTAATACTGAAAAGGGTGGAATAAAGAATAAACTACTGTGGACTGGTGAAATCAAAAGTTATGAAACTATATGTATATATATATATATATGTGTGTGTGTGTGTGTGTGTGTGTGTGTGTGTGTGTGTGTGTGAATAGCTAGGCAATCTAATGGATTACATTTCCACAGCAGTAATCGCAGAGAAGAGCGTGTCAT